ATTTTCCTTCTCTGTTTGGTTCTTGCATGTTTGGTTTCAATAATTTAAAAGCATGACCTTGAAGAGCGCTGGCTGTGAAAGCGGAGCTTGAGGAGTATTATAGACGTCATCATTACTTATGGAGGAAAATGTTATTTTAGAAAGGAGTTATTGACATTCGACACGTTCGCGGTAAAAAATATAGATGTATAAACTTATCATGTGGTATGCATACTCATGAACCGCATTACCTAGCCAAGTCAAGAGTTCAATTTATTGTACGACGTTTTGACCATCACGGTGATCTTTTCAAGTACAATTGACATATGTGACAATATATTTTGTTTTCTGTCTTCCTGGTACCATTTCGTTTATTTTTTCACATTCTTATACATCATGTTACTACAGTAGTCTGGATGGCCCTGTAATATGCTGAGACTGCGCGCACCTATCATTTCAGTTTTAAGATGGCACCGAGTAAAACCAGCAAAGCCACTTGGAACCACTTGGAATAGGCATTTCCGCTTCCAAAACGACAAGCGAGCATGATGTTATCTGACGTTTCCTAATGTACCAGATTCGTCACCCTCGTCCATCATTTCGAAAATGCCCTCCTGATGGATCATGAGTTTTTACTTCTTCACATGATCTGTCAGATCTCAAATTCGCACAAGATGTTTTGCTTCGCTGTATCAAGGGCGAAATATTGTGTCTTATATTATTTACTCACAAGACAAACTACATTGTTCGCTACTATTTCTCGCATTTCACATATACAGGGTGTTCCATAATTATTGCGACAAAATGATAGGGGTTGTAGAGGGCATAAAAATATGCAATTTTGCCTTATAAACCCCTGTTCGTAAATATGCCATTTGAGCACTACCGCTAATTTTACCTTAAGAGCTCATAGGAGAAACAAAAAATTCACCAGCTGCAAAATGTTCGTCTAGCACATTTCATGGTCTCGCCGGTTTGTAAAAAAAGCCTGCTGTGTTTACATTTTTGTTATCGTAAATTCTCCACACCGATTCATTTAATTTATCTGAGTGGTGCGTCAAACTAGATAGTAAATAACAATACCTTAGTGTTAAAATGCAGCGTTATTCGTATGCGGAACTTGCGGATATGCATTTAATTTACGGAGAAGCTGGTGGTAACGGGAGACGAGCCTCGCGAATCTACGCCCAACGGTTTCCAGAACGTCCTCATCCGCATCACGCCATTTTTTTCAAGGATTCATGGTCGTCTTCGTGTCAGTGGCAGCATCAGACACCTCGCGGGAGCAGGGCGGCCCTTCACGAGGCGCACAGTAGAATTTGAGGAAGCGATTCTGCATCATGTAGAGGCCAATCCGCGTACAAGCGTGTGTGCTATTGCACATGATATGAGAGCGTCTCAAACTACTGCTTGGCGGGTTCTCCATGACCAGAAACTACACCCATACCACCTTTTAAAAGTCCAAGCCATGGGCCCAGATGACTATCTGCCGCGTCGACGTTTTTGTCGTTGGTGGCTGCAGCAGGAGTTGAGGCAACCAAACTTCGGTCGCTACGTTTTGTTCACTGACGAGTCCTGTTTTACAAAGGACGGTTATTTTAATAGCCGTAACAGTCACATTTGGGATGAAGAAAACCCTCATGCCATAGCCATCCATAGAGACCATCATCAGTTTTCAATTAACATCTGGTGCGGCATTGTGGACGAGCATATCATCGGGCCATATTTGCTTCCACCACGTTTGGATGGGCATGCTTATGGTTGATTCTTACAGCATGGGCTACCGTAAAATAGAAAATGTGCCACTGAACATAAGAGCCAACATGTGGTTTCAACACGATGGCGCTCCAGCCCACTTTTCTTTACAAGTGCGGCAGTATTTGAACGACAAATTTCCAAATAGGTGGATAGACCGAGGTGGCCCTGTGCCTTGGCCTGTGCGGTCACCTGACCTGACCCCACTGAATTATTTTCTCTGGGGCCATCTGAAAGCTTTAGTGTACGAAACTCCTGTTCCCAACCAACAAGAGCTACTGGGAAGAGTGATGGCCGCGTCCGCACATGTTCAGGACATACCCGGGGTATGCCACAGAGTTCGCCGATCATTAAACAATCGTGCACAGCTGTGTATTGAGCAAGGTGGAGGACACTTTGAGCAATTACTGTAGGTAAGCTGTTTCAAGAAACTGATCTTTTTTTTGCTGCAGCCCAAACGGCATATTTCCGAACAGGGGTTTATAAGGCAAAATTGTTCATTTTGACGCCCTCTACAACCCCTATCATTTTGTCGCAATAATTATGGAACACCCTGTATAACACAAGTGAGCATGGAGTGAAGCTAGGTCAAAGGTGACATTTCATACGAAAACCTACATAGTGTTAGAGGAAACCTACATAATATCATAAAAAGCCACTCTGTAAGTTAAGTTTTGCTGAATTACCTACAATTGCGCATAAATATCGTTATAGTTTTTTTGTTCCTAGAGATAATGACACAGAGTAAACGTGTAATGTATTCTCAATCAGATCAAATAAACAGTTCTTGCAAATCTTCTCAAAGAAATGACTTATGACCTTCCAAAGTCGTGCAATCACGTGGAGTGTATAAATAATTTCAAACTCGAAATTTGATTATAAAAAAACTATACCTTTTTTAAGAACCTAGTTTAACTTACAAAACTTTTGTGATTTATTGCCTTTCCAACGATATGTTACACATCACAGAAATAATGTCTTGTGCGGTCAAAAAAGGAGAAAACAGTTGGTGAGGCTATTGAATCAGTTACAGACCTTTCGAAATGCCTACCTTAACTTAATGAGCACAATAGTGTTAGCGCATCAAGGCTTAATGTCAAAGGTTTACAAAAATTGTACAATTTTGATGCACAAAGTAGGACGAATAACGGTATATGTTACAAATTATCAAAAATTGAGTTTTGGTGTGAATAACGATGTATGAAGTATGTAGATTCCACTACATACCACAGTTTCTTGATATGCCAATAGATGGGGGAGTATACCAACATGGTAAGTGTGAAAATAAATGTTCAATTTGGAACAACTGCCTATGTGACATCAACTTAATCGTAAATATGCAGACTTTTATAGGTCACTACCAGGGCACTTATTTCTGTTTGTTTTTCATTATAGTTTTCTTTTTTTTTGTTTATTTCCAAAATACCTACTTATAGAATTAGAATAACATGTAATAATTTTTGTACATGAAATTATTTCAAAAAATGATTTGTACTTCTATTTGTGGAATAACAGTCTATGTTACATTTTTACTCATAAAATTTCAAGAAATACAATAGATGTTAAAACTCACCTTTGCTCGAAAATGTCAACTTGTAACTTGTAACAACCGTTATTCGCTTCCATCAATTTTAGTGAGAAGTGACTTAAAACCTATGGTTATAAGTTTTCATAAGCCCCTACCATGAATGCTCATTGTCATAAACCTGATAGGTACCTAATCCAGGTACCTCAAGTCATTATGTTCAAATCTACTTTGATGTGAGGCATCCGTGCCCATACCTGTTAATTGCTTTCAAATTACTGCCCTATCATAGATAAAAGAATGCATTACCAGATTGAGATCATTCGAGATTTGATTCTCTGTGCTATCAGAAGTGTATCTTTATTTGATGTTGTTAGTTCGGTTCTGGTTCTTACTGGTTTCACGTTTTATTGTAAGTTTGAACTATTGTGGTTGTGTTTGATTCATTTTAGTCATATTGCGGAATTTCACTAACGAGGAATATGCTGATATGTTGCTGGCTCTTGGCAGTGCTAGCTGCAATTCACGTAAATGCCAAATACTTCACCAGCAGCGATATCCTGATCGGTAGGTACCATATCACGAGACCTTCGCATGTATCGGCGGCTGAGAGAGACTGGAAACTTAAACTTTCAAGAGTCTAGAGTGCGTGGTCGATAATACAGTGCAACTATAGATGATCAAATCCCAAGAGGATTTGACGCGGACCCTGCAATAAGTATTCAGGTTGTTTCCGAAAGACTTGTTGTGTCTGCGTATAACGTCTGGTCTGTTTTACAGGCACACAGGAAGCATCCATTTCAATGTAGTTCTGTTCAAGGTAATTTAATTTTATGTTATCTGGTGTATTTTATTTGTGCAATTATACTAAACGTTGGCATATGTTACAGGTTTGGAATTCTTCATACCTTTGTGGAGGATGGATATTTTTTAAAGAGGATCTTGCGGACTTCATCCACGACAGAATCGTAAAACTACACAATCTCCATTATTGGGCAGACCGGGGCCAGAACCCACACAAGAAAACACAGCCCTCATTTTAAAAACGATTTAGCGTCAACGTGTAGGCGGGCGTTATTGGACGAACACTGATAGGACCGTATTTTTTGCCGAACCGGATAAATGGAGAATTATCTGGAATTCCTGCAGACTGGGTTGCCTGATTTGCTGTTACCAATTTTAACCAAGGCGCACATTGTTTTCCAACATGACGGCTATCCTACACATTATGTACAACCCGCTCGAGAGTTCTTGGACAACTCATTTCCAAACTCGTGGATTGGTAGGGGTGGTCCTAATCCTTGACCTCCACGGTCTCCAGACCTAACAACTTCTTGATTCTGAACCTAATGAATTGCTCTCTTCTTCTGACTGCACAACATATTATTTCTATGATGTGTAGCATATCGTTGAAAAGGCACTAGATCACAGTAGTTTCGTAAGTAAAACTGGTTTCAAAAAAGGTATAGTTCCTTATAATCGAATTTCGAATTTTAAATTATTACTTTGGAAGGTACTGAGTCATTGGCTTGATAAAGCTGTTGATCTGATCTAATTAGATGTACATTGCAGAACAGACTCACCTTTATTTTGCATCATTATCTCTAGGAACAAAAAAATTATAACGATATCTACGCGCAATTGTAACCGTAGCCCTAAGTGCATTGCGGTTTCCATCAGAAATCATCAAATAGCGTCACTTCATGTACAAAATACCCTGTATACATGCGTTTCGCCTTACCTGACTAAAAAACATGATATTCCGGCTCCGCCATATGCTCCCCTTGGGTTTCTCTCTGAGCGCGGGGAGCGTATATTTGAAGAACAGGTGCTCCACTAGCAATATTAATACCCCCAATAAAATTCCAACGCCCAACAATATGAAGACGCCTGTGACTGCAGCGACACCTAGCGGGCGCGGCTGTGCAATTTCTTGGGCCAGTTTGAAACACGGTAGGCCGCCGTACCATTTTTCTTGCAGGATGTCCATATAGCCATTACTTGAGTATTTTGCAATCACTGCCGATATGCTATCCTGTAAAGGAAGAAAATGATAAGTTATCAAAAATTGTCTCTAAGAATATAGCAAAAACTAGTTTGAGGTACCGCTCCATAAATAACACCGCAAAGACGAAAAAGAAATCGTGGAAGACCGCCAGTCAGATGGATCAAATCTAGCAAGCATTGGGCACAACCTTTTATCGTGCCTTGAAAAGCGCTGAACTTAGAGGACCATGGAGACTTGGACAAACGTGTTTGAGATCGCGACCCTCAAATATTGAGGAAATGGAATGATATCGACGGTCCCATGGAACTCCACTTCTTAGATAGTATAGCTTCCCAGACTAAAACCGTTTAACCCTTAGCTACAGAGGTCACGCTTGTAGGACTTAACCACAGACTACCGGTCATTTTGACCGATTGTCTTTTTTTGAGTATACATGAACAACAAAATCTTAATTTTTTTCTTGCAGCATGCGGATTAACTCTTAGATCTTTCTAATTAGCATTTGATGTAACTATGTTTCAATGAAATAAGAGTAGAGCATGGAAAAAATATTTAATTGCTATATTTTTGTTCAAGTGTAAGAGAGTCATAAATAAAAATAAAATAAAAACGTATACAACACTTTTTCGCACATAAATAATTTAAATAAACTATTCTGAATAAAATAACATCAAAGCAAAGCTAAAAACATTCTATATAAAAATATCTGCAAAGGGTAAGGCTATTAGCATATTTAGATGGAACATTCTTTGCAAATTCTCCTAGTACATTCCATGCATATTGGAGATTTACACATTATACAAACATGGAATGTTTTTCTCTCCTTCTTCGAGGAACAACGTCTACAAGTTGTTCTTGTATTCAGTTTATCACCTTCCATAGGATGTTCTTCTTGTTCCAATTGTAGTATGCGTCTTACAGATATTTTCATTTCACGACCAGTACGCACATTTTGATATCGGCGTTGCATATGTGGAGTTACCAAAAGCATTGCTAACTGTTTTCCAAAATGATAGCGGTTTATTTCTGGATTATCTCGGTATGACTGATTTCACCTAGATTTTCGTTGTCCTCTTCGTCGAATTCAACCTCTGACTCAGTGTCATGATCCGATAGTATACTAAGTGACATATAAATCCGAACACCCAGTTTAAATGGTTTTATTTTAATAAAATTTTGTATAACTACTTAATGAAGCATAATAAGTAAATGATACAAATTTCAAAATGATTGCACTGCTTTAAAGCCCTTTGACCTTTAATAATGTGTGGATGCACCTTGATGTGCTACGCATTCTCCAACGCGCCTAGGCATGCTTCTGATCAGGTGGTCAATGTCCTCCTGTGGGATCTCATTCCAGGCAACCACCAACTCCTCTCGAAGTCTGAGGAGGACGTTGCAAATTGAGCAATCTCCTACCCATTATATCCCACACGTGGTCAATTGGGGATAAGTCGGGAGATCTTGGTGGCCATGGTAACAATGTGACATCATTATGTTGAAAGAAGTCTATTGTGACTCTTGCAACATGTGGTCGGGCATTATCTTGTTGGAAAGTTGGATCTGCCAGGGTGTCAAGATAGGGTTCTAGAACTTCGTGGATATAACGCTGCGCGTTCATGTTACCTTTGATGAAGATTAAAGGTGACCTGGAACCATAAGCTATAGCACCCCAAACCATAACTCCAACAGTGTGATGAACATGTCTTTCAACAAAAAACTGTGGATTCCTCCTTTCACCACGTCGCCTTCTAACCCTGGCACGACCATTGTGCATGCCTAAACAAAATCGAGACTCGTCACTAAAGACAATACTGTTCCATTCCTGATCCCAGAGTGACCGTTGTCTGCACCACTCAAGGCGATTACGTCGGTGTTCTCTAGTTAAAGGGAGGACCCAGTGTGGCCGGTATGAAAACAAGCCAAAACTTCTCATTCGTCTGTAAACACTTCGCATGCCAATTGGTCTTCCGAGTTCTGCAAACCATTCATTTGCAATGGACCTGGTAGTGGAGAAACGGTCCCTTAAGGCCAATAGTCTTAGGCGGCGATCTTCACGGTCTGTTGTTCTACGGCGGCGTCCAGTGCCCCTTGCTCTTTGCGTACGGCCTTCTCGAAGCCATGCCTGACAACACCTAACCACAGTGTCTACACTTCTTTGCACTCTAACTGAAATTGCCCGAAAAGAAAGTCCAGCTTCCCGAAGTCCCACTATACGGCCCCTATCAAACTCACTAAGTAGACGAAATCGTACAGGTCTCCGTACTCTAGGCATCGTAACCGATCGTAAAGGATGTCAAGAACCAAAATCCGCCAACGTTGATTCTTTACTGCGGCTGAAATATTCATTTTTAGAGCGTTAGTGAATTAAAAAAAAGCAGTATAAAAACCGGAATGTCCAACTGATAAGGCTGAAAATTTGTTCACTTGTTATTTACAGTAAGATAAATACATTCACCAACTTTTATTAAAATAAAACCATTTAAACTGGGTGTTCGGATTTATATGTCACTTAGTATATATATATATATATATAGTCGCCATCTGATTCGATATTTCAGTAAAGTAGCTTCAAAATCAGCATCTCCATATTTTACCCTCTTTGAGGGCCCATGATTAGAGTCTATACTCAATTTATAAGGCTAAAAACATCAGAAAAATATTAATTCAACATATCCAAATTATTACGTTTATACAGACCTCCGGTATTTTTTACCGGTTGCGAACTTAGAACTACGATATTTCGCTTGCTTCAAGTAATACAGTCTGGCCACCGGCTAATAGCATCAAACTAAGTGTTAGGAAGGTATGTAGAAGCTCATAAGCGATAGTGGTGGGGATGCGATGAATTTCAGCAGTTGAAATTTGCAGCCGGTCATTTTGACCGGATGTCTATGGTTAAGGGTTAAACCAGAACTTCTCCTAAAAGGTTATGCAACACTTCCTTCTCATGGCACGTTAGTCAACAAAAAAGTACATTCATGTCCCGGACTCTCCGTTTACACTCAGATTCTCCCATCATTGCCTCATTTGTATTCGGGCCTAGCGACGGCGTCCTTGTTTCTTCGACGTTTCACCTTGAAACTCTCGACGACGACAGTTGGCGATCGTTAATTGGCTAGTTGCTCCAAATGTTACACGTCGTTTTGTCCAGACATAGAAGTGTGTGTATGAAAGGACAGTTGATATCGAGCTTATTAGGGGCAGCTTCTGCAATTTTAGGCAAAAATAATGATAGATTACTTTTATGCAGCTTTTCCTGCCCAAAGTGTGAGATTCTCCAAAAACGGCATAGTAATACGAGTACCACTCACACGTCCGATTTGCATTCCAACACGGAAATGTATTACATCTCGCTATGGGGGATAGCGTCGCGATACAGCTCAACGCTTTATCTTCCTCCATACATACATTTATACAGGGTGTTCACGTGAAAACTTCTCACCACGGATTTATCGAAAAAGACTAATTAAAAGAAAAAACACCGAGATACGTCAAAAGATTTGTTAAGGGGGAGAACTTTTTAACAAAAAACTACTTCACCCCCTTTCACCCTAGGCCCCCAGGGTCATCCCCATTTTAAGTGACAATTTCCTTTATTATGACGCTTAATTCTTTAAAATCAGTCGAATCGTTTCCGAGGAAATTGGAAAAATCTTTATTTATCTTAGTTTGTTCGGATAGAAAACAAAAGCAAACGAAAATATATTTTTTTATTACATACAGTGCTCAAAATGTTGCCCGTTAGGGTTTGCCAAAGCCGAACCTCCAATTCGTTGATAATTTAAAACGGAAACTACCAACATAAACAACAATTTGGAAAATTAGACGGGACAACAACCAAATAATACCCCGAACATTTCATCAAGACAGATATCCTGGGCGAACTGCATTCATTATGATACCTGTTCAGTTACTTGTTGCTAAGCTGTGACAATCTTGGAATAGTGAAAATTAATTTATTGATCCAGATTTTACTTCCAAAATGATTCACACACTAGCCGAAAGAGAGGAGATAATTCTAATTTATGGTGCCCAAAATCAATCTGCTCGGCGAACTGTCGTCACGTTTAACGCCAGACATCTGGGGAAGATAAATTCGCATAGGTTTTGGACCTTGTTACTAAATTTGCTCAAACTGGATCTGTTGCAAATAAGAAACGTGATCATCGGAGAGTAATGGATGAAGCCGCTCAAGTTGAAGTTTTTTTTTATTGGGTTAAAAAAATTGACGGATTTTGATAATTCTTTTATATGGAATGTTCAAACCTTTATCACTTATTCTCAAGAGAAGAATATTGACATAACATACTATACCGTTTTCATGACTGTTACAAGCTACTGAGTGTACAAAAACGCTTAAATTTGCCAGCCAGGCAGCTTCCAATGAACATACTATGTATTCTAGTATCATAAAGTAATCTTTAATGGCTTTACAATGACATGCCATGCGAACTATACTTCCATTCAAAAAAATGACGCTAAAATATTATAATATACGCATTCATTCCATTTCCCTAAATATCAACTTTCTAACTTTAACCGTTCAAAAAATAAGTGAGAGGGGACCTTTATATATTGAAAAATACGACGTAATCGTGTTGTTTGAAGCTTATAGACAAGCGTTCCGAAAGACTACATTATCTAAATAGTTCATGTGAAGACGATTGAAGATATCTCATGGAGCGAAAAGTCTATCCATTATTTGGACTATTTAAGTCCGAAATAAATCTTTTGAAACAATATAACCGTTTTTCTTCCCCAGAAATCCTCGTTTGTCATATCGTATAAACAGCTTGACTTGGCAAAAGCTGTTTGGAGAATTAGACTTCAACACCCTATCTCATTAACGGGCAATACTTTACTGAGGAATATTTGGCTTAAAATTGGTTTTCACGGGTTTTATCTACGGCTTATTTAATTCTGGCATATTCATTACAAATCACCCTATATATTGCAACCTTAAGCCTATTCGCGATACATAACCTCTAGAACAAAAATCAGTCGACACCCGTGATTTGTTTTTC